CCGCCAGCCCCTCCCTGCCGGCCGGGGGTGGGGGAGCTGCCCTGGGGGAGATGCACTGGGAAGGGAAGAGGCCAGTTTTGAAAGCAGCATTTCCTCTTTCGGCCGGGGAGGTGGGCGCTCTCCCTGGCCACCCGCCCCGAGACTGGCCCAGACCTCGGGCTGCCTCCGCACCCCGCTTTCCTCTCTGCGCCCCCCTGGCCTGCCATTGGCATGAGGCAGCAGCCGGCAATATGGCTCCTAAGTGGATGGCTGGGTTGTTTCCTGGGTATGTGCGAGGGGGGCGGGGAGGCGTCTTTCCCCCAGGCTGCCCACTTGCATCTGATGTGACATTTCTCTGGCAGCCTTCAGTGCCAAGGCTGGGGAGCAAGCTGCTTAACACCTGTCCGGCTCCTGCCATCCCAGGTGTATCCCTTCCTGCAGAACTGCACTTCTCCAGGGTGGTGGGAAGCCAGTGGGGGGCCTTGCGACATGTTCCTCTGTGTGGACTATTCCACAAAGGGGGTGGGGAGAAGGGCAGATCAAGGGTGCCATTTCTAAGAAGCAGGGACCCCCTTCCCTTCCAGTAGCTGGTGGTGAGGCCTCGGCCCCATGGCCCTTCCAGTGTGTGCAGACTCAGGGAGGTGCTAACAGACCGGGGGCAGCAGCGCAGATCTGTCCTGCCCAGGTGATGTTTCTCCAGCAGACAGATGGCTCTGCGCACCCCTGTAGCAGAGGGGGCTGTCGGTGCGGAAAGATAGCAGGAGCGACCTGTTCTCCACCTTGCTTGCAGCTTCCTGGCAAGAGACTGTCTCGTCGCTGGTGTGTCTCAACATGTTACTGCTCCGGTCCTGGCCCAAGTACCACGGTCTCGCTCCTCGTTCCCCTTTGCCTTCGCTGCTGGGTCTAGATTGTTGTTTTCCTAGGCAGGAGCTCTACTAGCCTAGGAGTGGCCCTGTTTATCTGAGTCGGCCTCACGGAGAGACTGCGTTTCTAGCTAATGAAACCCCAGAGCTCACGCTAGTGGCTTATTAGCTCTGGCTCCACCTGCCCTCTGACCTGGGGCTTGGCATCTCCGGATGGGTGTCTTGGGTGTTATGCTTGGAGCTGGTTTGAGATCCTTTTATTTATTTCTATTGCGGTAGTGCTTTAGAGCCCCTAGCTGAGACCAGGGCTAGAGGCACTGCGTGTACACAGCCTCAGATTATCCCTGCTCTGTGGTCCATTGGCTACAACACTGGGCTGGGATACAGGACACTTAATTTCTATACCTGGCCTGCTAGGTCACCTTGAGCAAGTTGCTGTGCTGCTCTGTGTCTCCGTTTCTCCCATCTGAAAAATGGGGGGGGGGGGGGGAGAGAAATGTTACTAACCCTTGAGCTCTATTGTTAAGAGGCGAGCAGTGGTGGGAGCAATAATAAAAAGCTTGTGATGCCAAGAGACAAGACCAATAAAAGGTGGGAGGGGAAACAGATGCAGAAAAGTGACTTGCCCAAGGGGGTCACAGCAAGCCAGTGGCAGAGCAGCGATTAGAACGGGTCTCCTGAGGCCCAGACCCACCCCCCAGGTGCTGGGCCGTGCTGTCTATCCTGTACCATCCCCTGGCCCAAGGCTTGGGAGAAGAGGTGATGGCGATTCAGAGACTGGGTGAAATGCTGTTAATTGCTTCCCAAACTGGAGGGGCCCGGTGGTTTGTTTCTGTTGGCTGAGCTCATCTCAGGCACACAGGGGAGGGGAGTTCCGCATATCCCTCGTTTCCCTGCCCAGCTCTGTCTGCTGCCCTCTTGTCCCCCTCTATTTTGGGGTGGGCTCCTTGCAGCCTCTCGCTTCCTATCTCTTGCCAGGCTCTCTCCCTCCCTCCTCTGGTTCCTACAACCTCTAGGGCTTTGGTCTGCTACATTTTAAAGAGAAAAAGTATTTCATATTGTTTTCTTTCTTTTTTAATAAAAAAATCAAAGGGTTACTTATCAATGACTGAGGAGGGACCCATTTCCCTCTCTGTTCCTTCCCCCCCCCCTTATTCTTCCTTTATTTCCTGTCTGGGTGGGAAGGGTGTTGACTTGGTAAACTGCTGAGAGGCTGGGCAGAGCTGATGTGGGGTGCTGGAATGTGCTAATGGCTGCCATCTACTGGTTCTCTTGTCTGGAGACAATTACCGCTCCAGTAGACCAGATGCCAGGGGCTCTGTGTGTCCCCTGTTCGCCCCCTTCCAGCTGTCGGATTCTTCTCCCCAAAATCCGGGCGGTTCTGCCCACTAGTGCCAAGGACGTGCCCTGCAGTTCTGGCGTTGCTGGGACGCAGCATTTGAAAATTCCTGTGTCAGGCAGACCCAAGGCGGTGCGGAGGGCCTGGCTTTGATTGAGCAGTTACAAATCTTGCAGCCTGCAATGGGGGGCTGGAGGGAAAACTGGGGCGCTGCTGTTGTTTTTGCAGGCTCTCCAAAAGGAGGGGCTGTCTGGGTAGCAGCTGGGGCTACTCTTCTGACCTGGCACTGCTTCATGAGTCACTGGTATCCAGGGCTTTTGGGCCATGGGGCTGATCTGCACAGCTCCTAGCACGGCGGGGAGCCCTGGGCATTGAGTGATGCTAGCAGCTTTCCTTACCGTGGTACCCAGCCCTCCCATCTTGTTTCAGAACTGGCTGCGCTTGTCGGTGATCCTGACACGCTCCGAATAGCACTGGTTGGGCACTGTCCATGCTTGGTTGCGGGCGGAGGCGCTTGCTCTCCCCGTGTGCCGGGGCGGAGGTCGGTGCCTGGAAACGGAGCCTCGCTTGTCTGCGGGTCGCTGATCTCGCCCGTCTGTGGTGGAGCGTTCTCGAACGACGCCCCTTCCACAGGGAGATCCCTGCCTGGCTCGCCACAGGCGGAGGGACTCGCGTTGCCTTTCAACGGTGCCCTCACCTGCTGACGGCTTTCTCGCTTCTTTGTGCAGGGGGATCCCAGCCGGGCCTGTGCTATGTGTGTTCAAAGCGTCTTCTCCACTAGTGTTTGCAAATGAAAATGGAGGAAATGTCTTTGTCTGGCCTGGATAACAGCAAGCTGGAGGTAAGTGAGCCCTGGCCTGCAGGGCTTCAGAGCCAGGCTCCCTTGGAGAATCCTTCCCATCCTCCCCGGCCTCCAGATTTACCCCGTGGAGCTGGGAGCTGCTCGGTGGGAGAGGCGGGTCCTAGCGTCTTCTCCACTAGTGTTTGCAAATGAAAATGGAGGAAATGTCTTTGTCTGGCCTGGATAACAGCAAGCTGGAGGTAAGTGAGCCCTGGCCTGCAGGGCTTCAGAGCCAGGCTCCCTTGGAGAATCCTTCCCATCCTCCCCGGCCTCCAGATTTACCCCGTGGAGCTGGGAGCTGCTCGGTGGGAGAGGCGGGTCCTTGCTGTAACTCTCAGCTCTGCAGAGCCAAGGGGGCTCCAGGCTGCGTTAGCCACGGAATCGCTCTGAGTTCCAGTTCCAGGGCCACAGCCTGCGCTCCGTGGCACCCGTGGATGGCGGGGGGG